GGTGAAGCTGCAGGTTCTGGTTCCTGACCCGTTGGGTGAAGCTGCAGCCACAGAACGGATCTGACGAGCTGGAGACATTTTCAGGAACGAGTTCAACAAACTGATTTCAACTCAACAAATCTGTTGATGTTGGAACGACTCCCTGAAATATCATCCATCCAACATCCATCATTCCATCCATCATACATCAATCCAACAGCCATCAATCCATCCATCTGTCATCCACCATCCAACACCCACCATACATCAATCCATCATCCACCATCCATCATACATCAATCCAAAAACCATCCATCTATCATACATGCACATCTATCATCCATCTTCCATCATCCATCCATGATCCATCTGTCATCCACCCATCCGTCATACATCCACCATCCAACACCCATCACACATACATCCAAAAACCATCATCTTCATCCATCCATAATACATGCACATCATCCATTTTCCACCATCCATCCATCGTACATCTGTCATCCATCCACTATCCATCTTCCACCATCCATCCATCATACATCCACCATCTATCGGTCATCCGTCCACCACCCATCATATATCCACTATCCATCTTCCACCATCCGTTATCCATCAACCAAGTTATCCATCCACCATCCACCTTCCATCCATCATCTGTCATCCATCCATCCATCCTTCCTTTTATCTATCCATCCAACAATGATCCCTGCTGTAAAAAGAAAGAGTGAAGAAAGTACAGCAAGTTATTTTTTTATTTCAAATCAGGTGAAGAAAAATACTTTATTTTTTGTTCAGTATAATAAAATATGTTTACTTTATTCCTTTTTGCAGAAAAACAACAAGTCAAAACAGAAAGACGTCTCCCTCTTTGTAAACTGGAGAGCAGCTGCGTTGAGAAGCGACAGAGTGAGGAGGATAAGGCCCGAAACATACAAAATGTAACTGGGGGGGCACCATGGTCAGGACTGAGAGGTCAGAGGTCGCTCTCTCCGTACAGAGCTGTGGAGAAGGACATGTAGTCCAGGGCTCCGGGGACAGCGTCGGGCCCGGTGTAGGGGGCCATTCGGGCCATGCAGTAGTCGGCCTGATCCGGGGGCAGCTCCCGACGCAGCTCATCGGCTAAGATGTAGTTCTACAGAAACACAGGAGAGATCAGCTGAAACGAGCTGAAGCAAATTGGAACAAGCTAAAACAAAATGAAGCAAGATGAAATGAACTGAAACAAGCTGAAACATGCTCTGCCGCACTCAGCTACCGCTCTGCCGCACTCGGCTACCGCTCTGCCGCACTCAGCTACCGCTCTGCCGCACTCAGCTACCGCTCTGCTGCACTCAGCTACCGCTCTGCTGCACTCAGCTACCGCTCTGCCGCACTCGGCTACTGCTCTGCTGCACTCAGCTACCGCTCTGCCACTTTCGGCTACCGCTCTGCCGCACTCGGCTACCGCTCTGCCGCACTCGGCTACCGCTCTGCCACTTTCGGCTACCGCTCTGCCGCACTCGGCTACCGCTCTGCCGCTTTCGGCTACCGCTCTGCCGCTTTCGGCTACCGCTCTGCCACTTTTACCTTCTAGCCTTTTGATGCTTTTAGCTTCTAGCTAGGCTTTCAAAACTTTGTTTGCCTTTCGATATTTTTAGCCTTAACTGGTGTCTTGCTACTTCTAGTTTGTACTTTGTTCCTTTTAGCTTGGGTTGTGCTTCTTTTATCGCCAGAAGCTCAATTTCAGCTCATTTTAGCTCTCGTTCAGCATTTCTCTTGTTCTTGACCATGTCTGATTAGTGGAAGCTAACGGTTAGCTTCCTGAAGAACCAAGTTGAGGTTTGATGGACGTCTCTGCAGACTTTGAGAACTCTGATGCAGAACTGTACCTTGTCCCCAGCCAGAACTTTGAAGGACGCCATGACCTGGTCTGCTGTGTCCGTGTCGGCCGTCTCGCGGGACATGAAGTCGATGAAGGCCTGGAAGGTGACGGAGCCCATCCTGTTGGGATCCACGACGCTCATGATGCGGGAGAACTCGTTCTCCCCCTGAAGGCAGCAGAGACACAAGACCGAGCAGTCAAAACTAATTTACAGAGGTGGAAAACATCTGGATTGTGGTGGAGTAGCTACGTTTTAAATATTGTTCAATCTTCCACCAAAACAAATTCTAATACTCACAAATAAATTGATTGTTCCTAAATAAATTGGGCAAAACCAGCATTTTTATCGTCCGCTGTATTTAAAATTAATGAAGATCAAGTTTGTAGCTGCTTTGGTCAAATCTTAACGACATCGTGCTCAGTCTCACGTAACGTACAGGTTTAGTTTTATTTCACCTTTATTTATACAGAAAGATGTCTTCCTCAGAGATGGACAAACCTTCAGCTACACAATTCAAACCTTCAGCTACATAATTCAAACCTTCAGCTACACAATTCAAACCTTCAGCTACACAGTTC